GAAGCTCATGGTCAATGGGTTTGTCTGTAACAGCAGGCACTTCCCAGCTGCAAAAAGGGATTGAAAAGCCACTGTCAAAGAACATAGTTCATAGATGCAAGGCAGCAGGAATCAGGTGTTCTCTGAAGCTCCATGGTCTTGAGCATCAAGCACCAGGGAAGCAAGGCACCAAAGCAGTCTGGGGACTATTGGTAGAATCCAGACTGGAAAGCCATCAGTATACCTAAGATCCAATTCTAGCAAGGGCTGCAGACAACTCAGGACCCAGTATCAGAGGTCAGAATAAACTCAGTACCAGTAAGAAAATTACTCGGCTAGGTATGCAGGCATCAGGGACACGAGAAGCTTTCTAAAAAACCCAACCAGTGGTGATGTTATGTGGAGAGAGGTGGCCTGGGGAGAAGACATGGCCCCTGTGAGCCCACATGGGTTGTGCACTAGCAGACTCAGAAGGTAGCTGGATAGTTTGACAGGAACTAGGGCACTAGGGTTGAGCCCAGCCTGGTGTCCCCACACAGTGGACAGAAATGAAAAAGCACAAGAGATCCTCTGGACTGAGGGCACTTCAGGGAGACCCTAGCACACTAGCTGTGCAAGGGTACTGTAGTAGATATATAGGATAACGAAGTGTGTGTGCTACTGGGGGTCACTGGAAAGCCAGGAGAGAAAACCAAGTGAGGGCTGACTGGAGAGGCAGCTAAGAATATGGTGATTCAAGAATCAGAATAGTTTTGCAAAGCCCATTGGCTGCCAAGCATTTTCAGTATAGGAAGGGCTGGCTTAACTTTCTGTGTCGGAAGGTATGGTGTGTCTATGCACATGGAGGCTAGAGGTTGGTGCCAGGTCTCTTCCTCATTTGCTCTATCCTGTGCAGCAAGCACTCTACTGACTCAGCCATCTCCCCAGCCCTGCAAACGTTAGAAAATGAATGAAGCAGGCTTCTGTGGCAATTCTTGTTACAATACGGGCAGGCCAGCTTGCCTTCCGCAGTTGCATCTCTTAGGCCTCCACATGGAGTCCGTCTGTTGTCCCTTTGATGCATGGTCCAGGCCAGCCTCCAGGATCAGCAAATTCAGCAACAGAAATTAGGGAGTGGAAAGTCGGCGCAGTAGTTAAGAGCACTTGTTGCTCTTGTAGAGGACCCCAGCTCTATTCCCAGCATCCACACGACAGCTCACAACCAACTGAAGCTGCTCTGACACCTCTTCTAGCCTCTGCAGACACTAGGCGTGGAGATGCTACACAAACACTGATGCATATAATAATCTTAAAGACCAGACATTAGCCTAGCATGGTGGTACACACATTAGCACCAGCACTCAGAAGCGGAGTTTGAGACCAGTCTGGTCTACATAGTGAGTTCCAAGCAGTCAGGGCTACAGTGAAACTTTGTCTAAAACAAACAATACATTGTCTCACCATTCTGGAGCGCAGAAGTCTGACTCAAGTTGATGGACCATGCTATTGAAGGTTCCAGAGTTCCTCATCTTTTGCCTTATGGTAGTTAATGGAAACCCCTGGAGTTACTCAGCTTGTACCTTCATTACGACAGAATTATGTCCTCAGATGGTCTTTGGTGTGTGTCCAAATCTCCCTTTCATATAAAAGTCCTTATATTAGTATATTATATTATTTTATTAGTATATTATACTAGTATAAACTCAATTACATCTAAAAACCCATGTTTCCAAATGAGGTCACAGCCAAAGGTTCTAAAGAGACATTAATTTTAGGCTGACACACTTATCGTAAAATGTTTTAAACCTAGATGTAATGTTTGACATGTCACCTTGAGTAGACCAGGGGATATTAAGATGCCTAGCTAAACATTCTTTCTTAGAATCTGAGGGTGCTATAAATGGCTTAGCATGTTCATCAGCTAGCTGAGCAGGTGTCCTGTGCTCCCTACCCCCACCAGTACAAGTTATACAGCGATTTACTGAAAGGAACAACCACCTTCAGGGAAGCTGTTTAAAGCAGGATAACCTAAGAAGTGAAACAGTGTATCCTGGAGAAACACTGGATGCTCTAAAGCCGTGGTTCTCCATCTGTGGGTCATGACCTCTTTGGAGAATTGCATATCAGATGCAAGTTGTGCAGTGCAGGTCTCCAGCTTTTGTAGTGCATCCTGGGGTGGGCTAGTGATGGAGCGGTCATTTCTGCTTTGTAAGGAACTCCAGTAAAGCTTCCTGGTTCACCAAGCTCAACATTGGCGGGATCTGTACTTCCATCTGTTGCTGGTACGCTATTTGGGCTAAGCAGGCATCTGCTGACATCTCCCCAGTGTGACATAATAGCATAGTTCAATCTTTTGAGAATCAAAGAGGGCTGGAGAGATAGCTCAGCAATTAAGAGCACTTGTTGTTCTTGCAGGTGACTTACATTAGATTCCCAGCACCCACACAGTGGCTCACAACTGCCTGTAACTTATATTGCAGGGATCAAATGGTAGCTTCTGATATCTGTGAGCACAAACCACACACGGGGCACACAGACTCAGGCAAAATACTCACATAATAAATCTAAAATATAATTGTCTTTCACTGGAGTTCAGTAGTACACCCATGGCCCCAATTCTATGTGTCACTTTGACGTATCTCTTCTCCTGTCACACAACCCAATACACTACCTCAAGAGAAAGTCACCTGCTTTGTCCCTCAGGAGATATTGTCTTCACACTAGTGTCCAGGGCTACTTACTTTCACACTACCCATTCACTGTAATGTAGCTCCTGGAAAGAAGCCAGCCACAATTTATACTGAACATTTTATAAAGAGTGATTAACTGACTGGAAGTTCAATGACAGTGGAGATTATAATGTCATAGGTCCAGGGGAAAATGTCTTATCCCTGAATAGCCATTTATTGCCCATGTCTGTGTGACTTAGCATCATGTGACTCCTCTCATGTATGTGGTGAAGCAGTGTTTTAGTTGAAGTGTAACCAACCCATTCCCCCAATTACATACAGTGTACAGAATTCAGCCACTCTGGTCTGTTGGTCATGAGTTCTAGCGGGTCACCACAGGTTTTTGCTGTTACTCGTATAGAACATGCCCCCCACCTTCCATCCTCCTTTCAGAAATCCTTCTTGTGGTATCTGGGGCTCGCCATCATTACTTACCTACATTAAGATTTATAATTGTTACCAGACTAAGAGCTCCAAAGGAGCAGAGACCATGACTGGTGGCCACTGACTCAGTACGGTGGACTGGCATTAAGCAATGTCTGTCAGGTGATCAAAGGAAGGAATGACCTGAGACTGTGGGTAGAGAGACAAGTGAGAACCCAGGCACTGTGTATGCAAACCAGCATTCCTCCCCACCAATCAGCGTAGCTGGGCTCTCATCTAATCTAATCTTATCAAGGTTCACACATTGGTCTCTGATTCTCCAATTAGTTTCAACTCAGCCACAACCTAAATTCACAAGCTTTCAGCACCAGCCATTTAAGTTCATTTTTTATACTGATGTTGCTCAACAAGTAATTTTCCTTGGAACAAAAAATTAAGAGTCAAATAATTACCTTTGCTATCAAATACTTCAAAATTTTAAGAAGATAGCTTAAGGATATATAGATTAGTTTTACATTAACAAAATATTAAACTCACAGGTAACTTTTACTGAACCACTGATGTACATTAACATCTTAAGTAAAAAGGTCACACATGTTAAAGATCACATACAAAGTTAAAAGTCAGATATTTTTCCATATGTATGATGGAGCTTTTTTCTCTCTCAAGACAGAAACTAAATAGTTGTGGCTGGCCTAGACCTATGTAGTTCAGGCTGGCCTTAAACTCATATCTGCCTGCCTCTGCCTCCCGAGGGCAGGGACTGTGGGCTTCCACCACCACATCCAGATGAACTTATTGTGGACAAGTCTTCAGAGACAGCAAATGAGATTTGATTCAGGTTCAGCTTATACTCAGACTCAGAAGTCTGTTAAGTCTGTTTAGTTTCCAGTTCTAGGCAAAGAAGAAACAAGAGGTAATCTGAAAGTTAAACAAGATAATATGTTTATTATCTTGCTAGTTTGTATCCAAAGGTTAAAATACCATAAGAAATTTTACAGCATCGTAGCATGTCTCAATTATAAAATAAACAGGGTTAAACAAAACGCTGGTGATTTACCAAAGCAAATCATTATACTGGCCTAAGCCACAGAATAATTCTACACTTTACTTCAAAAGGAAAGAATACTGATAAGCTATTTGTAAACTATTGTTAAAAGACCCAACATTACTATTAAAGGTTTAAAAGTCTTTGCATTGCAATGATGCATGTGTGTGCGAGTGTGTGTGTCTGTGTGTGAGAGAAAGAGGAAGTCCAAAGACAGCTGGGGGTGGGGGGTGGGGCCCTCCCTACAAACAACTGGTCTTGGGAATCCAACTTACCTGTTGAGTTAAAGAGAACTTACTTTTTAAAAATGTTGAGAATTTGCTTGTTACCCTATTTTTTAAACATAAAAGCCCTCTTTTCCTTCCTCTTACCTTCTTGTAGCTGATGTGGCGGTGACCCCGACAGGTGACCTCTGACCCACTAAGGCCAAGCTGGAGCTCTTGCCTGGGGTTCTTGGCGGGAGAAAGGGTGCTGGATAGACTCAGTGAGCACATTTCATTTCCTCAGTGGGGCCTCAGCAGAACTTAACCTGACCTTTCGCATCCCTTCTGCTTGTCAGGAAATAAGGAGAAATGAGAAGAGACCTTGAATCCATCACAGTATTCTGGCTACTTTTCAATAGAGCATTTCTTGATAGTATCAGGTTTTGGCTTAATTTAATATTTATAAATTTGGACAACTTAACAAGTTATGAAAAAAGGACCTTGTTTCTTGACCAAGAACGCACAACAGCACGCGCTTTGCCATTGTCCTCAGAAGGGAGAAAGGCAAGATAATAAAGATAATAAAGACAGCAGACATCATTAGAACCCAGCACTCTTTGAACTCCTTACAAGAAAAGGTGTAATCAAATCATTAAATAAATTTAAATAGGAGCCACATGAGAATGTAAATTAAGTAGTTTATTTATTCAGCATATTATCATTGTGGGTTTAAGGCCTTATCAGTTAAGATATAAATTGATTATAAACAAAGTATTTGTATTGTATATGCTTTAAATACTCTGGCTTAAAAAAAGCAATATAGGGATGGCAGACGGATAATATGGAGACCAGAGTATTTTAATGCCCCTGTTATCTGCAGTAAACAAACTAACGGGAGATTCCATGTCCCTAGACAAGGCGCCAGAGCGTTGAGGGACACTGCTGTCGGACTTAGGACGGGGAGTCACCTGCACTGGGGAAGGGGTGCTGGTGGTGGAGTCCGTCTCCTACAACAGTCATTATGTCAGCGTTAATGTGTCAAGAAGAGAGTCGAGGGGGAGCAGATCCTGCTCTGCCAGGCTCAAGTCACCACAGTAGCCACCACTCTGTTTCTTGTACAGCACATCACGAAAACCACTGACAGAATTACATCTTCAGTCGGCAAAAATTGCTTATGCCATTTAGCTCAAATTCACAGAAGAGAATTTTACACCAGATGCAATTTTATGTATTCAAAAACAATAACGAGAAGTCTTAATTGAAGGTTAAACAGGAGCCCAAGTGCACTTCATCACCAAGATGAAATGCTGTTGGCTGCTTGGATGTCTTATTTTCTGTCCAACCTGATATTCCATCCACATAGAAAAAGGCATTCTGTTTCTTTATTTTTTTTATTTGACAAGCAGCAACATCATGTTTGTCATTTTAATGTAGATACAATTATTAGGTTATCTGTCATATTACAATATTTAAGTTTTTATTTTATGTCCTTTAAGATACATTAAAAAAAAACCACATCAACTGCAAACGTGAAGGGGAGAAAGCATGGTACCCAACCGAACCCCACATTTCAGCAACGCTTCACTCCTTCTTCTAGTAAAGTTAAGAAATGTCATCCTGACATGAGCTTGAAATATCGCTAGGCTTTTCTCTGACGCTCATGACGTGGCACTGGTGATGTTGTAAACAGCAGAAAAACAGGGGCTGCCAAATAACCGAAGTATGGAGGCACAGGCCTGCTTTTTCCCACAGGAGCACACCAAACGGTGATGGCAATGACCTCACACCCGCACCGGAAGAGGGTGTCAAGCGACGTAACTGTATTCGTCTGCAGATGCTTGGCTGCGCTCAATGTACTGCTTGTCTATCAAAACTTCTATGCACTTCTTAATCATGCTGATACTGGGATTGAACCTGGCTCTTGACTGGCTTATTACCTGTGAGAGAGACAGGGAGTCAAGCTCTCGTTAGTAAGCATTAGCACCCATTTCCAACCCATTAGCTAGCTGTAAGGAGATTGACACGGAACAAGGCAGTGCACTTAGAGAGTGAAGGGAGATCAGTTTTTACATGATGATAGAGGAATTAAAGTGCAAAATATAAGATACAGCAAAATAGTAAATTACCAACATTGTCACCTCCCTACATTATTCAATAAGCCTCCAAGTCTAATGCTAACTCTACTTTTCTTCTAACACACACACACACACACACTTTGTTTTGTTTTGAGACAAATTTTTTGTCACAGTCCTAGCTTTCCTGGAACTAGCTCTTGTAGATCAGGCTGGCCTCAAACTCAGACCTACCTGCCTCTGCCTTCTGGGATTAAGGGCATGTGCCACTACTGCCTGGCTGATGCATAGTCTTGATGCCAAAATTTTCAGTGGCAAGTTGAGCTCTCTGCACTGCAGAATAGCCTTAAGGTGTTTTGTCCCACACAAATATTAGTGTGTAAAGGGAATGAAGGAACACATGAACACTTAAAGTGTTCCCTTTTTCCAGGTGGGAAGGCGACTTAGCAAATTGGCAAGTTTAGGATCTCTAAGTTCAAAACAGAGCAATGCTGGTTCTACCAACGAAATTGAACTCTTTAAAATAAGAACTCTTTAAAACCAACATTTCTTTATGCCGTTTGGTCAATATTAGCTGTCTCAACTTTAACAGGGCACACTACAAAATCCCGAGGACTTTTCCCTTTACCTCCTGGATGAGGGCGTTGTGCCGAAGCACTTTGCGTGCTTTCATGATGCGGACGATAGCAGCTTGGAGATACATTTTCCGGTCCTCATCTACAGCACTTCTCGTCTGTTCCAGCTCCTGTTTTTACGAACAGGGGTGACCCACAGATAAGACAATGAATGTTGTTTTTAAGTTTCCATTAGCAAATTTTTAAAATCCCAGTTACTAATTAGCATCAGGGGCTAGAGAGACGGCTGCTTTCACACATAGACGACCCAGGCTTGGCTTCCAGTATTCACAGTGGACCAAGTCCTTCTCTTCTGGACTCTTCTTGTCTCAGGCATGAATAAGGTACACATACATACACTCAGACATATATAAAATAAAAAAAAGTCTTAAAAAAACAAATGATACCCTCAGAGAGCCGGGGAATCAGGAAAAGTGGGTTATACATGATGCCGGAAGATTGGGGATTACACAGCAGTCTTTTAAGGACAAATCCCTAGTCTGTTGTTCACTCTACTAGAAATGAGACCTTGGTTACATTAGGGTTCAAAACTCGTGGCGATTAGTGTGTGTGTCTCCCCTCCTCCAAGGGCCTGATATCTTATCTACTTCCCATCCCAGAATCCAAAGGGCAGTCAGCAAAGTCTGAATGAAGCCTGGTGATCAATACTGAACTCACCTAAAAGCCAGCCACACTGCTAAACCACACTCCTGCTGGCTCAATACCAGACAAACCATGTAGGGCAAGCTGTGCAGCCACACATAAGAATCCTGCCGTTCCTTCTTTAGTTTCTTTTAGGGACTTACGTGCTAGGCAGGCGCTCTAGGTTTGAGCTACACACACAAGCCCAAACTATGTTTTAAGATAAAATACTGGGTTGGGGATATAGCTCATTGTCAGAACATTCACACAGCATGTCCTAATGGCTATATTCATACATACATACATACATACATCCTTTCATTCACTCATTCCTTCATTCATTCATTAATATACTCTCTCCCTTACACACCCACAATCCCCAACTCATGAAGTTAATGTTTGCTAAGAAAGAAGCATTTTGCTCAATAGTGTAGACACTGGTTAAGTTGTCCAGTTTCTTATCTTAATTAAACTATGGAATCATTAAAAATAAAAACAAAGAGGGACCGCTTGGGAAGAGGGCAGAGTGAGAGGGGATGAGAGAAATACACTGTATACACAGATGGAAACTTAACAAAACCTACCACTATTTATAATTGACGTAATTAATGAGTAGATAGCTCAACTGGAGCTCCCCTGAATAAGCTGCCTATCTTTCAAACTCTAACATACTGCAGACACAAAATTATATGGCCGACAAATTGAATATTTATCATAGTATTAATTTTAACGTACAAAGGTTTTCTTGATATAGGTATAAAATGGACTCGTTCAACCACTACTTAAATATTTCTAAAAGAACTGGCATTCCAACAAGCACTTACTTGTGGTGTATCCTTCTGCATTGACGTAGTAATTTTAAATTTTGTTCTCTTACTGCTGAAGCTCATATTTAAAGAAAATGACGATTCTGCATCAATATCCTCCTATATTTAAAACAAAAATTTTTTTTTCTGATTTCACACTTGCCAGAATTTTAAACAGTTTCTATTTAGAAAGTAACTATTTCCAGGCCCAGCCATTATATATACTAACAATGCTGCGGTAATCATACTGCAGACAAGTGAGCCAGCTCTAGAGGAAGCTATGCTTCCAAGGTTCCAAGGCCCCCTGCCCGCCCGATAGTATTTTGTTCATCTGTGGATAAGGGGCTAATTTACAGAGTCACGTGGATGACACCACAAACTTAAAACCAATACCAGTAAAAGAACATTCATCAGGTAGAGCATGGAGTCGCTTGGGAAGTTAGTTACCTTCTCTGAATCATAGTTTATCATTTTTACATCAAGTAATGATTTGATTGTTTTGGTCAGCTCCTTTTCATTCATCTGAGTGCTGTCTTGGAGTTCTTTATAGCTGACAGTTTCACTGTTGTTAAAGGCAAGAAGAACTGCCATTTGGTAGGTTGTAACCATAGCCACATATGGTTTTCCCAAATAGTTCATTTTAACTTCACCTACAAATAAAACAAAAAATTGACAATATACTAATTATCCAAATTGTTTTCATTTCAAAGCGATCATAAATGATAGTTTGAATTGTTTTTCCCTAAAAAAGTAAGCCAAAGACATCTTAAAGCTCCTGGGAAGGCATGCAAAGTTCTTGTTTGGAGGACATGGGACTGTCATGTGAGAGTACTGAGTACAGGCAGAGCAAATGAATAGAAGGAGAAATTGGGAGGAGAGGAAGGAGGAGCAAGAGAGATCAAGAAGTGAGAATAAAAGGCCACCCAGCCAGCCATGGAAAAGGAATAAAATATCTATAGAATAAAGAAAGGTAAAAAGCCCAGGATAGTTTAAGAAAAGTTGGCTAGAAACAAGTCAAGCTAACGCTGGGAACTCATAAGAAAGGATAAGGCAGCTGGGCGGTGGTGGCGCACACCTTTAATCCCAGCACTTGGGAGGCAGAGCAGGCGGGGTTCGAGGCCAGCCTGGTCTACAAAGGGAGTTCTAGGACAGGCTCCAAAGCCACAGAGAAACCCTGTCTTGAAGGAGAAAAAAAAAAAAGGATAAGGCTCCGTGTGCATTTGTATATGAACTGGGGGTGGCAGCCCCCAAAGAGTAAAAAAGTAAAGCCTAAAATACCATACCATCACTGCTTGTGTGTTCTCAAAGTGTGACTGCCTGAGTTCAAGCCTGGTACCACACTGCGGAAGGAGAACGGACTCCCAAAGTTTCCCTCTGCTGCCCCCATGCCAGATGTGGCAGGCTTGGGTACACTTCACAAATGCACAGATACAGACAGACCACAATGGTCTCAAATTCACTAATTTTGCCTCCCAAGTGCTGGAATTAGTTGTCAGGCAACTTTTCAAAAGTTAAAAACAAAACAAAAAACTAATAAAACCCTGATGGGGTAATGTATTCGCTGCCCAAGTGCTAGGACCTGAGTTGGAATATCTAGCCAGACAGCCAGGACCGGGGCATACGTCTGTGATCTCAGTGACAAGCATGGGTAAGCTTGCTGAGTAGCTCTAACTGAACTGGTGAGCTACAGGGGAAGAAGTCAGCCAGTAGTGACCGTGATCTCCATATGCACCCATAGGGCAAGAAGCACACCCATGCATAACTCACACAAATTAACCAAGTGAACTAATTGGAGCCTAAGGAAAGAATATGTGCCTTTGCTTTAGCTGAACATCTCCACGGAACCAAGAAGAAAGACAATCTTAGAATACCTGCTTCTATTCTGACACTTCATGACAGAACTGTAAATAAAAGTCAATGTACAGGGCTCAGGAAACGGAGAACAGCTATTCAAGAATATCTAACCCAGTAGTCTGCCTTTCTTAACAAATTCTCTAATATTTATGAAATGCCACAAAAATGCACTGTCATACAATCCAAAAAATTTAAAGGGACCGTTATCAGGGTTATAAACATAGTTCAATGGTGGATGGCTTCCTTAACAGTACCAAAAAGGGAGGCGTAGAAAATTAGACTATACAAATTATTGTTCTAAATGAATACAAGCAGGTAAATATCATTGATCAAATAGCAATTAAATGTTCTTTACCTGTACAGAGATAATGTAACCACGTCAGTTTCCTTCCACTGAAATGTTGGCTATAAAATAATTCAAACTGTTGAAAAAGAGAGATGTTAAGCTATTTGTAGGTCCCATAACTTTACCTGTAATTTATTACCACCCTGAAAAGATAACGCATCTTAGTTCACTTAATGATATAGCTTGTCCAGAGTACCTGTTCAAGACCATGAATAATCACTGCTGTGTGCGAGTACCAACCTATGGTGACTCTGCTGAGTCAGCAGTGACTTGCTTTTGATTCCTGCATGTAAAGCATTCTACCCATAAAGCAGAGCAGCCAAATGCTATGGTGTGTGTGCACTCAGTCACAGAGACATGCAAAGCTAAGGCAGAGATTTACTTGAGCCCACCCTGGTTAAACAGCATTAAACGAGGAAGAGCAGAATAACTCAGGCAACAGGCTGCCTATGCAGGAATCAGTCTATGGAAGTATTTCTCTGCTACAATCTGAGTTACCACAACATGTTATTTAACTATCCCAGCTTGTGTGTATACGTGAAGGGTACAAGTTAACATGGACATGTCTTCCTCCATCATTATTCATTATTTTGAGAAAGGGGCTTCACTGAATCTGGAGCTTGCTATCTCAGTTGCACTGGCCAGCCAGGAACTCCCAGTCCTTGTGTCTTCTCCCCACCAAGGCAATGGGCACTAGAATCTGAGCTCAGGTCCACTGCACCAAGCCCTTGGTCCTATCCCAACTCTTCATTTACAGCCTGTCTAGTTTTCTCAAACCTCAGTACCTGCAAATTTTATATCTTTGCATCAAATCAGAAATATCAATTTCTCACTGTTAATATTAATCTAGACTTTACAGATTCTGTTGAAACAATACACCATCATATACATGATGTCATACCTACATTCACCAGCACATCGACCCTCATAGTTTACAGGCTAACCAATGCATGTGTGGTTAACACAAAACAGGGTCTATGACATCCAGGTCAACAATGACATAAACAAAGTTGTGGGGTTCAAGGTACCTCTCTATCCATTTGTTGATACTGCACTTAAATTTCTAATTGTACGGACACTAAGGAGATGAATTTGCAGTTAAGAACACATACTGCTCTTGCAAATGACACTTTGATTCCAAGCTTCCACAAGAAATGGCTCATAGCTGCACATAACTCCAGCCCTAGGGGTCCTATCACCTTACTGACCTGTGGGAACCTGCACTCACACACACACATACCCACAGGTAGATGAAACACGCTACATACACACAATTGAAGAATAAATAAAAATGTGGAAAATTCCTTCCCTGTAATGAATGTGTGAATTTGAGAGAAGAGTCTCATCTTTTTTTTTTTTTTTTGACAAAGGGTCTCAGAGAGCCAGGTGGCCTTTAATTTAACACATAGCTGTGAAGGACTTTGATCTTCTGATCTTCCTGTCTCTACCTCCAGCATGCTAGGATTACAGGTGTACACTGCCATATTTGGTTTTGTGATGGAGTGGGCTTCCTTCGTTTTATTTTATATTTCACTTTTAATTTAAGTAACTGTTGGGCATGGCGGCATATTCCTTTAATCCCAACACTTGGGAGGCATTAGCAGGTGAATCTAAGGTGAGTTCCAGGACAGCCAGAGCTTTTATAGAGAAACCCTGTCTCAGAAAACAAACAATACACACACACACACACACACACACACACACACCTATTTGTGTGTGTGTGTAACATAGACTTTCTCTTGAATATATAGCATATGTATATATTTTTGTTTGTTTTGTTTTTTGAGACAGGGTTTCTCTAACAGCTCTGGCTGTCCTGGAACTCCCTTTGTAGATCAGACTAGATATGAAATCATAGAGATCCATCTGCCTCTGCCTCCCAAGTGTTGGGATTAGAGATGTGTACCACTACCGCCTGACTCTGTATTATTTTTTGGTATCTCATTACAGGAAAATTAAAATGTTAATTCAAATGGAAAGTCAGAAGGACACTGGAGCTTTCTTTCTCTCTAAACTAATGTACATTTATTTATCGGGGTGATGGAGTACTGTCCATGTTATGGGCCATGCATGAAAGAGAGGACAACCTGGGGGAACCACTTCTCTACATCGACCACGTAGAGCCTGGTAACTGAATCCAGGTTGTCAGGCTTAGTGGCAAGTGCCAACACCCACTGAGACATTCAAGGTAGCCCTAAACCTTCATACAATACCAGAATAACCAATACTATGAATCAGACATACACAAAGTCATTACAATGCCTTTGTTTATTGCATCTTTCCTGCACACTTACCATCTGTACACTTTTTTCTAACTCTTGAGGAATCGCAAATGTGGATGAAGGAGCCTGAGTGAGAGGCCATGCACCAGCCTAGAAAGGAACAGTGAAATAAGTTCAACAGACAGATCTACTGGGCAGGCAAGCAGCTGAACAGACCTTTTCCCTTTCTCATAATGCTGACCTTCTATGGCCTTCACCATCAGGACACATTTCATTACAAGTCTCTAAAGTGTGGTCCACAACTCAGCAGCTGACCATGCATCATCAACAGGAGTCCTTTGCTAACCTTGTCACACTGTCAAGTTCACAAACGTAAACAAGCACTGTCATACCTGAAGGACATATATTTGGAAACTAATCCCCAAATCTATCACTGTGTCTTGGTTTCTGATGAAATTGTTGAACTTATTGTTGAGATCAGCACTGACGCTCATATCTGTGTACATCCGATGCAGCTTGCTGGTAAACTCATAACCACAGGCTTGCTGGAAAACAAATTGCAAAGCATGTAACGAATCAATCAGGAGACCAGAGACGGGTTGTTTTGTTGTGAATTAATACTGAACTTAGAGATCATTCTAAATCAATGGAAACTTAAAATGAGCCATTTGGCTGTTGGTACAATGATTCGTGTTACCTTTAATTTATTGATCATGGCTTCTTCCGAATCCATAGACATAGACAACCCATGAATTAGACGTTTTGCAAGCATTCTTGCATAGAACTGCATGAAAATGTAAATGTTATTTTCATTATGACTTCAGCTTCAAAATAAAGCAAAATACTAACTAAACACTCTGTTCAGCTCACCTTCTGAAAAACGTCTTTGTCGTCGATGTATTTGAAAACGGTGATGAAGCTGGTGAGTTTGTCCTCCACTTCATTCTCAGTCATTCCCTTTGCTGACTTCTTCAGCAAGTTGTCACAGTACTTAGCAAGCTCAAAAAGAAATTGGTAATAAATCTTACAAAGAGCCCTTGGGACAGACAGGGATAGGTGGGCCACTTAGAGGTGATGTAAGGACCCAGCCCTGAGAACAGGCCAGGAATAGTCACCAGCAACAGCACAAAAAGCAAAGCAAAGTGCCTCAATAGATGTTCTAAACTGTTATATAAAATAAGCAGCATCGGGTTAATTTTAAAAACACAAACCACTAGAAATAAAGAAAGGAAGGGAAAGAAAGAGGAAAAAATCTAACCAGTAATTAGTGACCATATACATTTCTTTCTATCATGCTATTTGTGATCTATGTTCTCCTTTGGTTGGTTAAGAAAGGGCACATGGTCTAATGCATTCTGGACATAAATTCAAGACAAAACACAGTTTCATCTTCTGAAAAAAGTACACAAAACAAATTAATTTGCCAGTCTACCAATTTTTCCTTTGACTTTGCATGAGATTACTTTTAAGCAACTAAACTTACCAGTTCAGGTGCCTTGCAAACAGACTTGGGCTCTCTGTAATTTACAACAGATGTAAGGGCCTAAACAAGAAGACAGCCCACAGTTAGTTACCAGAAGTAGGCGAGAGCACACAGGATCAGCTGTAATCGTGTCTATAATACCCATGGTTCAGCTCTCTCTCCCTCTCCGTCTAGTGCAAGGGAGAATACATGCACCTGCACATGTAGAGAGAGGCAAGGTCTACCTGTTCAAGAGTCATCCGCTTTGTGTTGAGGCTAAACTGGCTGACAGCAAGCCCCATGATGCCCTTCTTCACCTCCCCAGCACTGAGATTACACTGTCACAGCAGTTTTTCACACAGGTGCTGAGACTGAGCTATTTCCCCAGAATTTCTTAAGGTTCTGTGTTAAAAAAGGTTATTGCCACCTCTGGGCCCTTCTTTTTCCCCCTCTCTCTGCTTCTTCAGGTCACCATGCAGTGAACAGTTCCATCTACTGTGAGATGGTAGCATGTAGCATGGTCAATTAGAAAGGCAGAAACTTATGAAATTTTGAGTTAAAAAGAGCCAGGCAGTGTTGGCACACACCTTTAATCCCAGCACTTGGAATGCAGAGGCAGGTGAATCTTGGTGAGTTTGAGGCCAGCCTGGTCTGCAAAGTTCCAGGATAGCCAGGACAGAGAAACTGTCTCGAAAGACCAAAAAAAGACACAAAGAATTTCCTTCTGCTTAGCTCAGTATTTTATCGTGCTTAACAGAATAATTTACCACACAAACCAAAATATTGTTATAAGAATTACCTATGCCCTTCCTCATAAGATAGTATCTGCTACTCATTGCTGAAATGTTGGCAGTACTTTTTGATATAATCTCTAAGTGAATTTCCCATGTCAAATACCAATTCAAATTCCTGATGTCTTTCAGAGGATGAATACAGCCGAAATATGGCAAAGATTATAGGAAAATACCAGCCCTACCACTGCTGGGACTATACAAAGAAAGTATCAGTTCTAACTGACATTAGGATTATGAACAGTAAGACTGACATAGGAAACTCTATGGGGCTCACTAACCAGTTTAAATCTACTTAGCCTCTCAAATTCAATGTGGTTATTTAATGAGAACTTGAGTGTCTCAAAGATCTCAAACTTAGATGTCTAACTGAAAATTTTACATTACAGGGTAAAGAGAATTATGTACATATACCATTGTTTACCTTATCTAGAGCACTCATAAAATGCTGATCGCCATTCAAAACAGTGTTAATAAGTTGAACAAATTTGCCATGTACTTCCAAAACTGATTCCACAAATAGTGTTGGCATCTAAAAACATAAAATACAAAGTACAAATCCACATTTTAAGATATTCAAGAAGAGTACTGCTTAAACTCCCAAATTATATCATATCCCCCACCCCCACCCCCTCATACACACACTCCACCTGCCACCTCTAGCTATAAGGTCTAAAAAATCTAAGACACTTATATTAAATTCAACACCAGGCCTAACGAGTCCTCTGTCACATAAATCTATACACTCTTCTGTTTGAACACCAGGAGGCTTTTAAAGAAGGACTGAACAGATTCAACGCAATACCCAGCAAAATCCTTCACAGACCTCAAAAGAACAGTATTCAACTTCATATGGAAAAGCAAAAAACCCAGCATAGCCAAAACAATCCTATACAATAAAAGAACTTCTGGAGGCATTACAATCCCTGATTTCAAACTCTACTACACAGCTACAGTACTGAAAACAGCCTGATATTGGCATAAGAACAGACAGGAGGATCAATGGAACCAAATAGAAGGCCCAGATATCAATCCACACATCTGATCTTTGATAAGGAAGCAAAAAATATCAAATGGAAAAAAGAAAGCATATTAACAAATGGTGCTGGCATACCTGGATATCAACAGGTAGAAAAATGAAAACGGACCCATATCTATCACCATGCATAAAACTCAAGTCCAGATGGATCAAAGACCTCAACAAAAAGCCAGCCACACTGAACCTTATAGAATGTAGGAAGTAAACTTGACCGCATTGGCACAGGGAACCACTTCCTAAATAACCCCAGCAGCACAGACACTGAGAGAAACAATTAATAAATGGGACCTCCTGAAACTGAAAACCTTCTGTAAAGCAAAGGACATGGTCAACAAGACAAAACAACAGCCTACAGAATGGGAAAAGATCTTCACTAACCCCACATTAGACAGAGGTCTGATCTTCAAAGTATACAAAGAACTCAAGAAACTGGACCCCAAAAGATCACATAAGCCAATAAAAAAACAAATGGAGTACAGAGCTAAACAGAAACTCTCAACAGAGGAATCTAAAATGGCTGAAAGACACTTAAGGAAATGTTCAACATCCTTACTCATCAGAGAAATGCAAATCAAGACAACTCTGAGATTCCATCTTACACCTATAAGAATGGCCAAGATCAAAAACACTGATGACAACTTATGCTGGAGAAGTTGTGAGAAAAAGGGAACACTTCTGCATTGCTGGTGGGAATGTAAGCTGGTACAACCCCTTTGGATAATATCAGTGTGACAATTTCTCAGAAAATTAAGAAACAACCTTCCTCAAGACCCAGTAATACCACTTTTGGGTATATATCCAAAGGATGCTCAATTGTACCACAAGGACATGTGCTCAACTATGTTCACAGCAGCATTGCTTGTCATAGCCAGAACCTGGAAACAACCTAAATGCCCCTTGACTGAAGAATGGATAAGAAAAATGTGGTACATTTACACAATGGAATACTACACAGCATTAAAAAAAAACATCTTGAACTTTGCAGGAAAATGGAATTAGAAAACATCATTTTGAATGAAGTACCTAGACACAGAAAGACATGTACTCACTCATAGGTGGTTTTTAAACATAAAGCAAAGAAAGCCAGCCTACAAACCACAATCCCAAAGAACTTAGACAACAATGAGGACTAAGAGAGACTTACATAGATCTAATCTACTTGGGAAGTAAAAAGACAAGATCTCCTGAGTAAATTGGGAGCATAGGGACCTTGAAGCTGGGAGGGGAGGGGAGAAGCAGGGAGGGGAGTGTGGAAAAAAATAATAGAGCTCAACAAAAAAGAAAAGAAACAAAAAGAAGGAAGGATGGACGAATGGACGCTGGGAGAAGTAGAAAGCC